AACTCTGCGTCTGCCTGGAACCAGACGCTCCCGACGTGGCACTCAACTGCGGGCAAAACCTCTTCAGGTGCCCGGCTGTCCACACTGATAACAAGACAAGGGCTGCCCCCTGCCCAAACTTTGACTCTGCGGTCTAGCTGAAGAAGAAGAAGCTCTCTGACCTCCACCCTTCTGCGGGCAAACTGAAACCTTGTGACCTTCTGGCCACACTTGTAACAAGCAAACTCCCCCTGATTGCTCTCCCCGAGCCTGCACTCGGCACTGGAAAGGTCGATCTAGAAACTGCTCCTGAGACTGCTGAGGGTTATAACCCCTCTGTCTCCTGCCATCACCTGACAATCCTGGCTCCTCTTGGAGCCCCTCTGTTCTTCCTCCTTCTTCCTGCATCATAATTTCCATATGAGCAGCAGCATCTACCAGGTGTTATACTCTCGAATATAAGACCCACCAACTCTCAACTTGAGGCCCCGCCTCAACTTCGCTCAAACTCATAGCAACGGCGTTCCTCAGACGCCACCAGTTCCGGTGCAAACTTGGACAGACTGGTAAAAGTAGCCTCAAACTCAGCCACTGACAAGCCCTGCTGTTTAAGCCGGCTAAACTGGTCCCTCAGCTTCTCCCTAGCTGCTGCAGACAAAAACCTCTCCTGGAAAGCATTCACAAACGCCTCCCAAGTACCACCACACGAGCCTTCTCCGTACTTCCACCATTGACCCGCATCTCCCTTCAGTTGGAAGGATGCCAAGGTCACTTTCAGTGCTCCTCCTCGATGCCAAGCATCTCTAACGTCTTACTCATTTGCTCTAGCCACTCATCAGCCTTCAGTGGCTCTCGGATCCCCGATAAACTCATCCGGATTTGACCGGAAAAACTCCCTTTTCAAGAAAGAAGGCCCTGCCGCAGCTGCCTGATTCCCAGCCCTAAGAATACCCAAAGCTCCTGCTATCTCTCTGGCCAAGGCACCCATGGCCTGCTGACCCACTGGCTCGGCCACATTGGCCTGACCAACTCCCTCTTGCACTGCCGGAATCTCACCCGGTAACGGTACTTCCTGCCTCGCAGGTCTACCACGCCTAGCACCTCTTCCTCGTCCTGACATCCTAATAAAGGTAACACAGAACGTTACACATTCACAATGTGCCGAAACTAAACACTCACGTCCTAATGTTGGACAACTGTAATTCACTCCACGTAAGCACATAAACACGTAAGCACTTACGAATTTCATTTCCGGATAATGATAGTCCCGAGGTGTTACTAGAGTTCCGGTTAGAATTTGCATTGATCAAGTGCTTTTCCAACAAGTCTCCCCAGAAACCCAAGGATCCAATCAATATCCTAGAAATTAAATCCCATACCCACATAGTCACATAAGCATGTTATCAATTAAGCACGTAGCATATAACACTACATCTAAGTTCTCTATCAAGCGAGACAAACCCATTGTGATCCTAATCACTTCCCACTACCCAAAGTATTCGAACCCGGTACGCTCTGATGCCAAGTTGTAAGCCCTCAAATAAACAACAATAAACCCATCAATAAAGATATACCTTGATATGTAAAAGTTCCACATTCTTCTATTTATCAGAGTTCCATTACAAAAGTATTACATGTTAACAACAAAAGCAAATGCCCTATGGGCTTACAACTTTCCAAGTTAACACTTGGTTACAACAAAAGAGTACTAACTCGTTTACACATTAAGCCCTTGGCTTGAAATTACATATAATACATCAAAAAGTAAAGCGACAAACGTATGTCCACCTCTAGCCTCCCAAGCTATGTCCTTGGAGGTGGCATGCTACCTGTACCTGAAAATGATATTCCCATATAGGGTGAGCCACAGCCCAGTAGAAATACACTAAACCAACCATGAACAATGACTAAAAGATTAGCAATTGATAGATGACCAACACTGATACATTCACATAAATCACATATTTAGTCATACGACTTATGAGTCCAAGTTACCTTTCATTTTCCCTTTTTCAACAGATAAGCTATAAGCTCTACCCACATTCTCAACAGATATGTATAACAACAATATCCACATTCACAGATAAGTATATAAGCTATATCCACACTTCACAAAGACAAGCATATGAGCTCTATCTTCATTCTCTTAGACAAGCATATGAGTTGTATCTACGGAGTTCATCCCCTATCTTCTCCCAACACTATTCGGTTTAGAGGTACATCCCCCATCTTCCCCTAAACCGCGGAGTACATCCCCATCTCCTCCTCTACACATAACGTATACAACACCATTGGTTCTATATACAATCACTCAATACATATAGTTAATGTATTCTATCAACCGTCACATTCCATGACACATTCTATTGATTAGTTTCCGTTTGCCTAATCATCATGCATTGTCTACAACAATCACGACTATCCTCCACCGATAGCCCAAAGCAATTATTTCTAAACAGAAAATAAATGCACAAATGGATATTCAATCAACATTTCAATTTGGTGTTGATAACAATTCAACTACACCCTTTAACCTCATACATTCCCAATCTCGACAATTCCATTTCATTTCCTCATTTCTCACGATTAATTATCTCAATTAATCAACAATGTAATTTGGTCATTACCCATAATTAACATTTCAACCCTTAGGTCCCATTTTCATCAATGATACAACATCTATTCCATTCTCTAAGCCAAACATGCTTCTAGGTTTATTATGAATAAACCCCCAACTTTTGTAAAATAACACAAAAGCCCCAAACTCTCACCAAATTACCAAACCAACCCCAACATTCAAAATACTAAAATTAAAGACAAAATCCATAGAGAGGAGTAGGATATCCCTACCTCAAATTCGGAGCCCCAAAGGAGAAGATGACAAAACCCAACGTGCTCCAAATCCCGAAATTTTCAGATTAAAATGTAGCCCTCGACGATCAACAACCTTTTTGTAAAGGCCAAAGATGAGCAAATCACTCCTACTAGATCAAAACCTAGAGAGAAGGTAGAGTTCTAGAGTGAGGGCTCAAGAATGGCGTTTTTTTGAAAAGTAAGAGAGAGAAGAGAAAGTGAAAAAGTGATTTGAAAAGTCAAAACACGGAACTTAAACCCAGTCGACTCGCCGCTCGAGCGTCAAACACCCCGCTCGAGCGTCACTCACAGACTCCCGCTCGAGCGTCAACAATCCCGCTCGAGCGGCGAATACACACTCCCAGAACTTTTACAGAACCAGGTCTCCGCTCGAGCTTCCAACTCCCCGCTCGAGCGGCACTCACACAACCCCGCTCGAGCGGCCAACCCCACGCTCGAGCGTCCAACTCTGCACAGGAAATACTGGATGGGTACAATTCCCGCTCGAGCGCCAACACCCCTGCTCGAGCGGACAGGTCAAAATCTGGGCAACTAGTTTTTGTTTCTAAACTCAACCAACCTGTAACAAACCTGCCCAACATATCCTATAACTCAAATACGAAGTAAAAAAGGATGTAAACAAGATAATAAACAACTACCAACATCCACGGACACATGTCCGGATCACTGTACAACAAGAGTAAACCAGGGATCGCTATATATTAACTCCTCTTTCATTGTAATTATTTAAAACGGAATGAAAACATTAAATTCATGAGTTCCCTTTTTTTACTTTGCTTTACTTTCCTTATTTTTTTCCTTTTCTTTGGTTTATTTTTATAAAATATAATTTCTTTTATTTTTTTACTAGAAGTTGTTAGTAAGTGAGTTTGTGAAATGTGATTATTAATCACATGAGTGAGAATATAATTTTTAGAATGTCAAAAGATGAGATAAAATTAGACTAAACTTTGAGAGCAATATAATTTATTCTTAAAATAATAAAAACTTGATATTTTTTTAATTTTCAAAAATAATTTAACAAGTGCGATATAACGAATCAAGTTTTTGACTCATTGCCACGTTTTGGTTAATTTATTTCAATCTAATAGCTATAATGATGATTGGCATTCAGCTTATTTAATTAGTGATATTTTGTATTTTAGTTTTCTATAATATTATCAAGCCAAATCATCACCATAAATAAATAAAATAAACATCTCGATTTTTTATATAATTAAAAAAAAAATATTCTCAAAATATTTACCTTTTTTTTCATCTAACAAAAAAAATCAAAAAATTACTAAAAAAAAGTAAATTCTTAAATGAGGTCCTAAGCTCCTTAGAGTTCTGATATGTGAAGTCACCATTGGTATTTAGAGTTAGGCTACATCCCATTATGAAGAATTTTGTGTGAAAATTTTGTTCAAAAGAAAAAGGTACTAAAGCAAAGTAAAGTAAAAGAAAAGTGTATTGTTGAGATTTTTGTAAAATCTTGTATATATTTTTTTGGTAAGATATTCCTGAGATTGAGCCTAAGAATCTGTTAACCGAGTACGGAACTTCCTTTTTTAAGAATTTGCTTTCCTTTCCCTGGTGTACCCGTTGTGGGATGAATTGTTTTAGTCCCAGCTCCCAGATGAGAAGAAGGAAACCCAAAGAAATTCCTATTTTTTTAATTTCTTCATCGGGCTTGGGAAAGACGTGGAGTGCATAAGCCCCTGTCAAGAGGGCCGACTGAATGGAAGACTCTTCCCATGGCAGAGTCACCATTGTCTCTATTTATTATTATGGTAAATCTGTGTATCAAGATGTCAATTTGAGATCTTATTTTGGTAAGATGTTTTAAAAGAAAACTTGTCCTGATGAAAAAGTAATTGGCTTATGTATCTGTTACTAGACATTTTTTAAGTAATTGATTTGTCCAATTTAATCTAGATTGAAAATTTAAGCTAAAGAATATGTCAAATATTGTTTGCTTTTTAGCACATTAAAAATTCAGTACAAGTTAAAAAAATGACTCGCATAATGTCTTGGGAAAATGAAGCATAACTTGATTTTTAAGCAAAAATTCTCAAAATCATTGAAAGACAGCATGTCAAGAGAAGAATTGGTCCAAACAGATAATCCAAGAAAGCTGCAAATAAACCATATAGGGTTTCAATACATGAATAAGAAAAGTTCACTGCTTCTAACATAAAAATAACAATTGTATCAGATCAACACAACACATCATGTCTTTGTAAGATCTCAAACTAGTCCAGAAACATAGGTCTGAATCAAGATAACAGTAATTCATGACGCCTCCGCGGCGGGTTAGGTCAACCCAAAGCTCACCAACAACTTACTAAGAGATTCGAGAGAGCTAACCTAGTACTTCACTTTCCCCGAAGAGAGGAAAACCTCAGCCAGTTCAAGCTTATCCGAAGTAAGACTGGTGCTGTCCATAGTCTTACTGAGCACCTTCAGCACAAGCTGTACCGCCTCTTCTCTTGTGATATCATCCTTGTAATCCTGCTTAAGCATCGACTGCGCAGCGTGGTTGTTAGCACCAATTGCCTCAGCCTTCCAACCACCATAGTTTCCACTCGGGTCGCCCATGTAAAGCTGAAACCCGTAGTTCTTATCCCATCCCGTAAACAAAAATGATACACCAAATGGTCGAAGCCCACCGAATTGTGTGTATCCTTGTTTGGTGTCACATAGAGATTGAACCAGCTGTTTAACTGGCATTGGTTCTTGGTAAGCATACGTGTAGCGCTGAGCTTGGACCCGGGCTGTGTTGATGAGGATGTTGGCATCGGACATGATTCCAGCCACGGCACATGCAATATGGTCATCAATCTTGTACATTTTCTCGGTGGATATTGAGGTCTGTAGGAGTTTGGAAGTGACTTTGTTTTCTCCAACCAGTACGACCCCATCTTTTGATAGTATCCCTATGGCAGTCCCAGCATTTCCAATTGCTTCCATTGCATATTCAACCTGGTACAGACGAGCAAGGATCCTCCTCTTCATCTCTCTCCTTCATTCCCTCATTGCAGGGGCCTTCGGGTCCACTTTGAGGCCCAATTTTGATAATCTGAACCGTTCATATTTTAATATTTATTCAGTATATCATACCTGTAAAAAATCAAGTTGATCGGATATCAGAAAGTATGCGTTCAAAAAATTGGGACTACAAACTACTTTTTAATAAACAGTTTTCCGAACACATACTTTCTGATATCCGATCAACTTGATTTTTTACAGATATGATATACTGAATAAATCTTAAAATATGAACGGTTCGGATTATCAAAATTGGGCCTCAAAGTAGACCCGAAGGCCTTGCAAGGAGGGAATGAAGGAGAGAGATGAAGGGGAGGATCCCAATTCGGTACAGACGACCTTCTGGAGAGAAGATTGTTGTACGGCTGTCATACCTTCGAGACATCTAACATATACAAGAGTGGAATCTCAATAGATTAGTTAGACAGAAAAAAAAAATGGTGTCATTGAAGATTTATTTTATAGATGCAGGATAATATTGATTCCATGTACTGAATTCCATAGCAACCAAGCAGAATTCAAGGATGGGAAGAACTATCATTTAAAATGTTTTGACAGTGTATCTAATATATTCTTTTCTTTATGATGAGAGTGCCCTTTTCTAGAGAAAATATTAGATTATCCTCTTTCAATGGGAAATTAAAATGCTTAATAAGACCACTGTATTGACCATTGAAAGTAACTAAGTTTAAATTAAAGGAGGGCTAGTTTGATCAAGCTGAAATTTTTTAGCATTGAATTTCTAGTTCTGAAATACTAGAGTAATGAATTTTTTGATTTGAAAATTTTAAGATAAATGTCGGTTCGGAAGTTGCAAAATTTTTGCAAAACATGACTACAAACATTATACTTATCAGAATTCATGGAAGTTATGCGACTATATCTTCTAGAGACCAATATCGCTCACAGCCCTTATATGAAGTGACATATCAGGCACTGACAGAAAAACCACTATCATATTTTAATACTCAGACACAATATGTATAAACCTACAGAATGACATAGAAGTTCCATAGCAAGTTCTAACGAATATGAGTGCTAACTACCAAACTCTGTAACTTTAGTCACCAGAATTACCTCGTCATCAAAATTATGATAAACTATTAGACAATGTTTTATTGTTTCCTTTGGGTGCCAAACAATTTACTAGGCATGCCACTATGGGGGATCAAAACCCTATATCACCTTTTCCCAACAAATTATGATGTACGGACACAAGACACGACATAGACACAGACACAACACAGACACGGAAATTTTCAAAAAATGGAGGATACGACATGCTGGGGACACATTTAATATATATAATTTTATTTATTTATTATATATCTAATTTTTTTTAAAAAAACATTGGTTCCTATAAAATTACAATAATAATAAAATTAATAAACACATTACCTAAATTTTTTAATAAAATTGATTTTTTTTTTAAATAAAAATAATTTGTTTTATAAATTTTAGGTTCAACAAAACTAAGGATAAAAAAAAAGAAGAAAAAAAAAGAGAGAAATCGGTGAAATAAAAAAGAGGGGAAAGTGAATCAGCAAAAGGGGGGAAACAGAAATCAGAGAGAGAGAAAACAGGAGAAGTTGAAGCCGAAGAGAAGGGAGGAGAAGAAGATGGAGGCAGAAGACGAAGAGGTCAAGGCGAAGAAGGAAGATAGTAGACGAAGAATACCTTAGCTTCTTCAATTGATTTGAACAGGTTAGGGCTCCTCTCCACTCCTCCCTCGATCTCTTTCTCTGTCTCTGTCTCTTTCTCTTTCTCTGTCTCCTCTCCTCTCCTCCCTCGATCTCTGTCTTCTCTCCTCTCTTGATCTTTTTCTCTGTCTCCTCTCTTTCCCTTGATCTATCTCTCTCTTTCTCTCGATCTTTTCCCTCAATCCGTCTCTTTTTCCATCGATCTGTCTCTCTCTTTCTCTCAATCTCTTCTCTTGATCTCTCTCTCTTCCCTCGATTTGTCTCTCTTTCTGTCTCTCTCCTCTCCAACAAGTTTGCTTCTTCGATCCACCTCGCGTGTTTGAAACGTGTCATCACGTGTCCGATTGGAAAATTCCAAAAAAAAAAAACATGAGGACACGTAAGGAGAGTGTCAAACACGTGTCCATAGCATGTCCGTGTCCAACACTCGTACACAGGCCTCGAGGAGGTGTCCGTACATCATAGCTAACAAGCTTCATAATCTTGGAACTAAAATTAAGGCAGATTTTCAAAAATAGTAAGAAAGTATCCACTCACAAACTTAAGGGGGTAAAATGAACATCTATGAGATGATGCACTCGTATTTTCATCAACTACAAGAATATAGGCAAACACAAACTAGGTTCTACACAGAAACCAACCTAAGATGTGACAGGCAACCAGCATCCAGCATGTTATGCAATATTGAAAAAAAAGTTGTGTTAGATTTTATTTAGCATAAAAATTTTACATGAATATCATCAGTTTTCCTTTGTCCTTGCCAAGCTAAAGATTATATAGACATGGTCCACAACATATTTCAAAAAATAAAAAAGAATTTAGCAAACATACTGTTGTTTGTTGTATCACAAATGCCATGGAATCTGTCCCCAAGAGAGAAAGTCCTTTCTCATATTTACTTTATTTGAGTGACCGAATTCTAGTGAATTAGCCACTCAATAATTAGAGTTCTGGTTTTTTGTGGAGAAAGAAAACAACTTTTTAAGGTAGAGAAGACCGAACTTCTAAACTAAAACAAATTTTTGTCTCTTTTGTACAGTAGGTTGTACGAGTTGGTTTCTCCATCCTTAGACCGAATTTTGGATTTTGTAGAGGCTTTTGAATAGGTTTTTGATGTATAGCTTGTGATATATTTTATTTTGTAAACAATTTACATTCCTTTTGTCCTATACATATCACATTTATTTATCCCAAAAAACAAAAGCCACTCAATGAGTAGAAACATTCTCACCAGAATTCATTTCTCCAAAGTAAATGAAATTCCTCCAAATATGTAAAATCTTTTGTAACTAGCCTACTATTTCATTTTGAGGCCAACAAGTTTCTCACATAAAAGGGCATAATCCATTTTCTCAAACCAACCAGTCTTACCCTACTGATCAAAGGAAAAAAACACAAATCTTTAGCTTATCATTACAATCCATGATTCCCACTTGTCATCTCATCAAAAAGAATACTCAAGCTGCCACTGTGGACATCTTTTTATGTCATCCTGCTCTCTGCAGAGTCCATCTTTTTAAGTCTACCAACAGTAGGGGAGAATGAAAGTTGGAAAGTGAGTTTATAACCAAAAACAGAGAAGTACACAAACAAGAAAGGCGTACCTTCCATTACAAGAGAATGAAAAACTCTACAATCATTAAATCTAAGTTTAATACTCAAAAACATACTAGGGGATTGTCCAAATTCTACAAATCGAAATATTAGAAGCCGAAGGCTTAGACTCCATGAAGCAAAGAAGATTTAATCCTAACATCATATTTGATTTGTTGCAAAACTTAGGCTGGGGAGGATGAAAGTTGAAAAAAGTTAGTTGGCAAGGGCATATGTTTTAGCAGATGGAAAATTAAAGGAAATAAAAGCGACCATTAAAGGATAAATATAGAGCTGGAAAACACAATTTTGTTCCATTCTTTATCATCTCCATGTTGAGATCATATACAAAGAATCCAATTGAAAATACAAAAACCAAATTTCTAGTTATTCCTTAAAGTGGCAATGATATGAATGATTTTACTAAGGAAAAAAAATGACCTTAGCAAGATGAAAAAGAGGAAGAAAAAAAGAAGAAGAAAGAAAGAAACAAAGGGGTTAAGCAGCTTCTATACTGACTGAAAACACCAGGAGAAAAAAAAAATGAAAAATCCGATAAAATTATAATGATTAAACTCATAAAGCAAACTTTTAGACCTCAATTGAAGCTAATGGCTAATAAAAAAAACTATAGGGCAAATTTCACTTTAGTTACTCCCTTGTGGTTTGGCCCATGTGCACATAACTGTTGTCATTTGAAAATAAGCACATAATCCTTTGTAATTTGTAAACTAAGGTCCATTGTTAAGTCCGTTAATGGCTTAAGCAAAATAACTAAAATACCCTTGTAGATAAGTAGCTTCATTATATAAACCAGAGACATTTTTGTTATCTTTTAAGAGGCAAAATTCACTTTACTTCATGTGTGGGGTTTAACCAGACATTTGGAAATGAACACATAATTCCTTTTTAGTCTTGGCATTTACATGTGCGTTAACTAGGACGAAATGCCTATTGGTGTGCTCTTTAGTGCATAAACTCCAAAGTGTTATATGCTTATGGAGTAAACTACACATGGAGTAAAGCACAATGGGTAAAGAAATTTGCCCAAAACTATACTATAGTTCGTGTTTATGGGAAATCAACAGAATGAGGGTGGGAAAATCAACAAAATTCCCATAAAAGCATTAGGCTTTTTGTTTTGGGAACAATAAAAAATAAAAAATGAAAAACCCTAGTTTCCATAATCACGCGGAATTCCAGTTAACAAACATTGAAAAGAAACAATCACATCACAGGTATATATATATCTAATTTCTCATCGATCTGGAGATATTATCGATAATCATAAATGAATTACCTTTTGGATTGAAGCGAAAGAGAGATCTGGAAATAGAAGCAGAGAATTTGAGAAAACAACAAGTAGAAAATCACGAGACGTTGGATACAAAATTGAAGATACAATCGCATATTAGAGAGAGAGAGAGAAGGATATACATACCTGGGGGAGATATGGAGAATTATTGCCAAGCAAAGTGAATAGAAGTAGTAACGATAGAGGAAGTGTGGTTTTAGAGAAGATACCTGCTGCTAGTGGTGGTGTGTTTCTTGTGTAGAGGGAAAGCTACCGGTAATCTACACAAGAAACACACCACCTACCGGTAGCTTTCCCTCTACACAAGAAGCACACCACCACCAGCAGGTATCTTCTCTAAAACCACACTTCCTCCATCGTTACTACTGCTATTCACTTTGCTTGGTGATAATTCTGCATATCTCCCCCAGGTATGTATATCCTTCTCTATCTCTCTAATATGCGATTTTATCTTCAATTTTGTATCCAACGTCTCGTGATTTTTTACTTGTTTTCTCAGATTCTCTGCTTTTATTTCCAGATCTCTCTTTCGCTTCAATCCAAAAGGTAATTCATTTATGATTTTCGATAATATCTCCAGATCGATGAGAAATTAGATATATATATACCTGTGATATGATTGTTTCTTTTCAATGTTTGTTAACTGGAATTCCGCGTGATTATGGAAACTAGGGTTTTTCATTTTTTATTTTTTATTGTTCCCAAAACAAAAAGCCTAATGCTTTTATAGGAATTTTGTTGATTTTCCCACCCCTATTCTGTTGATTTCCCATAAACACGAACTATAGTATAGTTTTGGGCAAATTTCTTTACCCATTGTGCTTTACTCCATGTGTAGTTTACTCCATAAGCAGATAACACTTTGGAGTTTATGCACTAAAGAGCACACCAATAGGCATTTCGTCCTAGTTAACGCACGTGTAAATGCCAAGACTAAAAAGGAATTATGTGTTCATTTCCAAATGTCTGGTTAAACCCCACACATGAAGTAAAGTGAATTTTGCCTCTTAAAAAATAACAAAAATGTCTCTGGTTTATATAATGAAGCTACTTATCTACAAGGGTATTTTAGTTATTTTGCTTAAGCCATTAACGGACTTAACAATGGACCTTAGTTTACAAATTACACAGGATTATGTGCTTATTTTCAAATGACAATAGTTATGTGCACATGGGCCAAACCACAAGGGAGTAACTAAAGTGAAATTTGTCCTATAGTTTTTTTTTTTTTGGATTTAAAACCCTTTTGAGATCTCTTAAATTTGTTGAAAATTGACTATGATTGGCATGACCACGTAGTCAAGAGTTTTTTTTTTTTGGGTAGTGTTGGGTAAAGATCATTGCTAGAGGATAGTGTTGTAATTTTCTTCTTTTTATAATAAATAAATAAATTGGTTAAGATTACATGATACAAAATTATTATTTGTAAAAATATTGTCAGTAGTTTCTGTTTGTGTCCACAAAATAAATAAATAGATAAAGAAATATGCTTAAAAGAACCAAACTTTCAAATACTAGATCAGGATTTTCATTCCTATTGGAACCTATCTTATGGTATTCAGTTGTCCTGTCGAACAGTCCTAAATTGGCTAATGATATTAAGTTTTATTAGCCATTAGCTTCAATTGAGGTCTAAAAGTTTGCTTTATGAGTTTAATCATTATAAACAGATATACAAAGTGACATTTCCAATCAGAGTGACATTCTTTTTCTAAACAGATATACAAAGTGACATTCCCAATTAGATATACAGATCAACAATAAATAGATATACATTAATGATCTGTTTTGTAAACAGAGAAACACAAAAATAACAGATCAATAATAAAACTGCCATTACAGATAAATAAATAAATAAACAGATATACATTCCCAATCAGAGTGACATTCTGCTTCATGATAAATAATAGATCTATTATTTATCAACAGATCAACAGATATATTAATGATTTGCTTGAATTATATATAAAATAAACAGATCTATAAAATGAATATTAACGATCTGTTTATGAATATTAACAATCTATAAAATAAAATAATATATCTGTTTATATTAATGATCTGTTTATATTATATATAAATAATGATCTATTTATAAATATATTATATATATATATATAAATAATGATCTGTTTCAAATTCATAATAAATAAATCTATTATATATATATATAAAATAATGATCTATTTATATTAATGATCTGCTTCATTTCTGTTTGTAAAAAAAATCCTTCAAATTCGTAATAAATAAATATATAAACAGATATATTTTATATATATATATATATAATAAATAAATTTTGAGGAAAAAAAAATAGAGGTTGAAGAAAATATATATACACTCAAATATATATATATATATACATATATGTAAAACCTAGATCCAAATTCCTAGAGAGAGATACCTAAACAGAGAGAGCAGCGACGGAGAAGCGGCGGTGAGGGAGAGAGAGCAGCAGCCCCGTCGTGTGAGAGAGAGAGAGAGAGAGAGAGAGGAGGGGAGGCGAAACGGTAAATGGTAGAGGCGGTAAGGGAGGATCGGTGGTGACGGAGGATCGTCGGTGAGGGAGGCGTGGTGGTGAGAGAAAGAGAGCGGGAGACCAAACCAGTGGCGAGTGAGAGAGAGAGGAGTGGAGCAGAGCAGCGCCGTGTGTGAGTGAGTGTGTGTGTCAAACCCTAAACAAACACAAGCATATATACACCCAGGGGCAAAACGGTAATTTTACCTCAAGGACTAAATGAGGCGGGGCCGGGGCTTAAACATCTATCCCTGTCCCCAGCCCGGATATCATCGGGGATGAACTTTTGAATACCATCCCCGGCCCGTCGGGGATATTTTTCGGTGAATAACCATTGAATTCGGGGTTGGGGGGTTGGGTCCCTGTCGGGTCGGGTTCAGATTGCCATCCCTGTCTATGTATTAGGCAGTGCTTTGAAAAGCGCGCTTAGGCGCGCGCCTAAGCCCAAGACAACATGAAGTGCAGTATTGCGCCTCAAGCATGGCTAGGCGAGGCGACATGGGCAAGGCGCAGATGAGGCGACGAAGCGCGCGCTTTATTATAAAGCTCGAGGCGTGCGCTTCATGCGCTTCATGCGCTTCAAATATATTTCACTCCAACAGCCCCCATTTGTTTACTGTGTGGATACCCACATGGGATGACATCTCATTTACATTATAAAATGATACAAACATGGGTCAACAACAGAGCAAAAACATTTAAAAAAGCCCTAGTGGAGAAGAAAAAGAAGAAGCGATGTGAAGAAGAGTATAACACACGCCAAATACACAGGTTCTCTTCTCCTCTTCTCTCTTCTCTGGTTCTCTTCTCTTCTGGTTCGACTATTCTTCTCTTCTTTCTCTTCTCTGGTTCTCTCTCTTCTGGTTATACCTTTTTTTTTTCTTTCTTCTGATTCGATTCTTCTCCTCTTCTCCTCTGGTTTGATTCTTCTCCTCTTCTTCTCTTCTTTTCTTCTCTGCCTCTGTTATACCCTGTTTTTTTTTTTTTGGTTCTTTCTTTCTTCTGGTTCGATTCTTCTCCTCTTCTCCTCTTTTTCTCTTCTCATCTTCTCTGCCTCTGTTATACCCTTTTTTTTCTTCTTTTCTTCTTGTTTGATTCTTCTTTGACTGTTCTGGTTCTTTTTTTTCCTCTTCTTCTACTTTGACTGTTCTACTTCTCTTCTCTCTCTTCTCTGGTTCTTTTCTCTGCCTCTGTTCTACTCTCTTTTCTTTTTTTTTTTTTTTTGCTTTACTGTGTTGGTCTTCTTCCCTTCTCGTCTTCTTCTCCTCTTCTCTGCTCTGCTCTAATTTGTTCTTCTCTTGCTTTGTTTTTTTTTTCCACCTCTATTCTACTCTGTTTCTTTTCCCTGTCAAAATAATAATAATAAAATGAACACTGAATCAGTGCTTATAGTCTCAATAGGTACATACATAATAAATGACAACACCCGAGGGTGAAAAAAAAGATCTGGCATGAAAGTATGCAACAATGGTAAATCCTAAAAATCTAAGCAAGTTCAAGTGTAATTTTTGTGGAAAAAAGATGAATGGGGGTGTTTTTCGAGCTAAGCAACATCTTGTTGGAGGGTATAGGAATGTACTTAAATGTCCTAGATGCCCAACTAATGAGGTGGCTGATTATATGGCCAAAAAAAAAAGCAACTGAATGATCAATTGAACTTGATGCCTGACTTTGATGAAATGGTCAACGAAGAAGATTTTGAGGATGAGGATAATGTTGTAGAAATCTCTCCACATGGTAAACAGCCTGTTCCTATTCAAGGTTCTACTCGAAAAACTACCTCTGCTTCTATTCAATTGAAACCTAAAAAGCCTAGGAAGATAAGGCCCATGGATTGTTTCTTCATACCTGAGCCAGAGTTAGTGGTGCAAAAAAAAAACAAAAAAAAGAAGGCAAGGGAAAGCAAATTAAAATTGATGAAAATGATCCTTATAGAAAATAGTTAATGGAGAGGTCCTATGTCAGAATTGCAAGATGGATATATGATACTGGAATTTCGTTTAATTTAGTCAATAATGAAAGTTTTGCACCAATGATTGAAGCCATAGGACAATTTGGTCCAAGTTTGAAACCACCAAGTTACCACATGATACGGATTCCTTATCTCAAGAAAGAAGTGAATCATGTCCATAAGTTGATGAAGGAGCACAAAGAGGATTGGGCAAAGTATGGATGTTCTATAATGTGTGATGGGTGGACGGATAGGAAGCATAGAACTTTGGTTAATTTCTTGGTGAATTGTCCTAGAGGAACCATGTTTCTTGAGTCTATTGATGCATCTTGTTACTCAAAGGATGCAAACAAGATTTTTAGCTTGCTTGACAAGTTTGTTGACAAAATTGGAGAAGCTAATGTGGTCCAAATTGTCACCAACAGTGCTGCAGCAAATGTATTGGCAGGTAAAATCCTCTAGCTCAATAGCAAATAGTGCGCTTTTGTTTTGGTTCTATTTGTTTAAACTAGTATGTTATAAACTTGTAACTTGTAATCTTATAGGGAAGTTTTTGGAGGCAAAGAGACCCCATTTGTATTGGACACCTTGTGCAGCCCATTGCATGGATTTAATGTTGGAAGACATTTTCAAATTACCCAATTTTAAGAAGACATTTGAAAGGGCAATTGGGGTACACGGTTATATTTATAATCGTCCATCTTTGTTGAATATGATGAGGAGTTTCACTCAATTGAAGGAGTTAGTAAAGCCTGCTAAAACCCGATTTGCAATAGCTTTCTTAACTTTGCAAAGACTTTATCAACAAAGGAACAACTTGAGGAAGATGTTTACTTCGGAGGAGTGGACCAAAAGCAAATGGGCGAAGGAGCTGCAGGGTAAGAAGATAGCTCAAATAATGCTAATGCCTTCATTTTGGAATCATGTTCACCTTGCCCTTCAGTTTTCATGTCCTCTTGTTCATGTACTAAGAATGGTTGATGGTGAAGAAAAGCCTCCAATGGAATATATTTACGAGGCTATGGATAGGGCTAAAGAAACCATTGCAAATGCATTCAATGGAAAGGAAGAGAAGTATAAAGATATCTTTGAAATCATTGATCAAAGGTGGGACATTCAATTGCATCGCCCTTTGCATGCTGCTGGGTTTTATTTAAATCTTAGTTTGTTTTACAAAGATCCAAATGCTACAAAGGACAAAGAAATCATGACAGGCCTATATCAATGTATATCAAGGTTGATCCCAACACTAGAGGTCCAAGATAAAGTTTGTGCAGAATTAGCTAAGTATGAGAAGGCTGAAGGACTTTTTCAGATTCCTATGGCAATTAGACAAAGAAGTACAAGGGTACCAGGTAATCATTTACAATGTTCTATTCTAGTAGTCAATACCTTTTACTTCAAAATGTTTGCTAAGTGCTAACTAATTATCATGATCAGCTGATTGGTGGAGTTCTTTTGGTCATAAAACTCCTGATTTGCAAAAATTTGCCATCAAAGTACTTAGTCTTACTTGTAGTTCATCTAGCTATGAGAGAAATTGGAGTGTGTTTGAACATGTGAGTACCCATTGTCAAATATAGTAGTGAATTCCAAAAACAAATTCAGTTATATACAAATTTAAATGTTTTTTTTATTTATTGTTGCAGCTTCACAGCAAAAAAAGAAATGGGTTTGCTCAAAAACGTCTCAATGATTTGGTGTTTGTGAAGTATAATAGAGCATTGAAGCGTCGATACATGAAACATGCCAATATTGATCCCATCTCTTTGAAAGATATTAATGAGAGCAATGAATGGTTGATTGGGAGGATGAAGAATGAGCTTGTGTTTGATGATGATTCTTTGGGGTGGGATGATGTTGCTGTAGTTGCTGGAGTTGAGGAGAGTAACCAAAGAACTAGATCAAGCACAACTAGGACAACACACCAACAACTTGTAGATGAAGAAGATGAATGGGAATATGAAGATGAGGCTGAAGAGAAGGATGTGGATGGATACAAATCCAATGATGATAATGATGGAGGAGATGAAGTTCTTCATGCTGATGATGATGTCTATTAAGTTTTGAGTATAATTATGCAACTATAGGACTTATATATTTTAATTTCCTTCTTGAACCACAAGTTAGAAGCTTAGTTGCATTGAATTATGTGGATGATGATTTTAGTACATAAGGTTTTTTGTGGATGTGAATGTCATACTTTATACCTTTTGTTGGATATTATGCTTTTTAATATACTACATATATTTGTTATGTTAAAATTTTCGCCTATTTTATAATTTTGCATTGCTTTTATCATGTGCGCCTCACTTTGGTGAGGTGCGTGCCTCGCCTCGCACCTTGCGCTTAGGCTCCAGGACACCTTATCGCCTCGGTGCACCTAGAGCCTTTTAAAACACTGGTATTAGGGTGGGCGCGGATCGGTTGCGGCCATGAAACCTCCAATCCGCCATCTGTCCGCCAGATTGGCGGATTGGAGAAAATCAATCCGCATCCGTCCGCCAATCCGGCGGATGCGGATTGACGGATTGGCGGATGGATACGAATCGGTTTGGTGGTTTAAAATTTTACAAATTTTCAACATAAAATTGTACACTTTCTAAAAAACACAACCTGAACATAATTCAATTGTGCATTGCACTTCCTAAAATACTGCCAAAACATAGGTAAGCAAAAGATAGTGCAAGTGCACAATTCATATATTTGATATACTGCCAATCTGCCAGACCAAAAACAAATAATTCAATTCACATTGGTTTTTAATTCATATATTTTTAATTCACAGTCAATTCAAAAACAAATAATTCAATTTATAAAACTAAATCAGTTCCGAAGCAATTCCGAAATCAATCAATTTATAAAATTAAATCAGTTCCTAAATCAATCAATTTATTTTAAGTTCCTAAATCAATTTATAAACACAATTTTTTTATGGAAGCACTGTAAAACTAAACCAATCAGTTTATAAAACAAAATCAGTTCCGAAGCAGTTCCGAAATGAATGAATTAAAAAACTAAATCAGTTCCTAAATCAATCAATTTATTTTAAGTTCCTAAATCACTTCCTAAATCAATTTATAAACACAATTTTTTTATGGAAGCACTGTAAAACTAAATCAATCAATTTATAAAACTAAATCAGTTCCTAAATCAATCAATTTATTTTCAGTTCCTAAATCAATTTATAAACACAAATTTTGTATGGAAGCACTGTAAAACTAAATCAATCCATTTTTAAAACTAAATCAGTTCCGAAACAGTTCCGAAATCAATCAATTTATAAAACTAAATCAGTTCCTAAATCAATCAATTTATAAACACAATTTCCTAATCAGTTCCGAAGTAGTTTCTCAATAAAACTAAAATTGAACATAACACATGCAACAAACGAAATTGAACCCAAAATTCAAGAGGCGGAAATGTTGAATAAGAGGTAGAAAACAACACGTACAAAGAGTGTGACATAACAGAGAATAGGAGAAGACAATAAGAGGAAAGAAGAAGAGAAAAATAGAAGAAGAGAAGAGAATAAGAGGAAGAAGAAAAGCAGAGCATACCGTCAGTGTACAACAGGAGCAGTGACGAGCAGATCGTAGGAGAATACCGTTCGATGTAGATCCAAAGCCAATCGCCGTTCAGTGTAGTAGATCGTCGATCGACTGTTTAGTGTAGACCGCTGGACAAGGACGACGATGGGTAGGGTTTTGGAGGTAGAGAGAGAGAGAGAGCGAAGAAAGAGACGAGAGAAAGGGTGTGTGTGTCTCTGTGTCTGAAATGAGGATCTAGGATTAGGGTAAACTAAAGAAAAGGGCTGGCTGAGGCGTAAAAAACCACTCACAAAAAGGGGTCACGGTCGGGTCGGGTTGGGTTTTGTGGGTATAATGGCGGATCACCCGTCACCCGACCCAAACCCGAAAAATCAATAATCTTGAACCCGCACCCGTCCGCTGCATACCACACATCCACCCATTAGGGGTCGGGTCGGGTCGGGCGGATTGGCGGGTTAGTGGATCCGCTGCACAACCCTACTATGTATGTTTATTCGCCCGGAGTGGTTCAATCCGGTCTAATATGTTTTTTTTCTTTGGTTTCCGTGGTAAGAGATCCGATCCAACTTACGTCCATCTCAATTAATTCTTTTTCCGAATTCATGTTGGGATTAGAAAATTCATAAAAAATTATTTTCACATAGTTTGGTCCTAAGAGTTAAATTCCAAGTAATTATATGGATGGTATACCTACCAATTTGGTTAGGTCCCTGCAATCTAATTTTTATTAAAGCTAAAATATCTAAGAAAAATATATATATTAAAACTTTTTTGAAAATCTTAGATTTTAATTAAAAAGTAATTACAAGTTATCAAATATATATATATATATATATATTTTACTTTTATGCACATTTTTCTTAAAAATTAAAAACACAATACTAGAAAATCAATTCCCAAACACCTCCAATGTAATAGTAACACCACATAACGTCAAATCAAGATTGCTAGAGTTGTGGGATGGCAGGCCCCCTAAACTTCTTAAAATTAGTTAATTAATCCTGCATTTATAAATTATTTTATATTACACATAGAATGACTTCCTAAATTTTTAAAAATTTCTCTATTAATAACTCCTATACTGCATAAGTATTCTTGCAATGCATATAAGATGGCTCTAAACTATTTGTTACGGTTACATTACAACAAAAATGAAAGTGTAAATTAAAATTGTTCAAATTGAAATTACAAAAACTAAAATAAAAAAAAAGACATGTAATTTACCCATTATTTTTTATTATTAAATTATCATAATTCTAAACCTATTTAATCATTTTTTCTTCTATTAAATTAAAGTGCTCCCATTATTGTTATAGTGATAACATTACATGATTTTTTCATTTTACATTTATATCAATAGCAATGACAATATGTGAGTAATAGTATGGGTCAAGGACCCTACTCCACTCCCACCTCACCCCCTCGTCTATTTAGCTTTACAAGTTGACATTTTTAGCATTAAATTCCAATAATTTGGTTTTATATGTAGCCCAATTGAGTAGAGAGAGAACAAAAATGAAAAATAGAAATATATATAAAAAAAAATAAAAAAGATTACATCCTAAACTGCAAGTTCTAACAAATATTTGAGAGAGAGAGAGATCTGAAAATGTTTACAGGCATTGAAATGCATTGCACAAGGGAAAGAAAAAAGAGGGGATTTACACAAAGGTATAAAGATTACATACAAGAAAGGATTTACCAACTAAAAACACTTAATGTGCAAACACCAAGACCTAAGATGTAAGTCTTGATGGATCAAAAGGATTTTGGGTTTTTGAGACTCCATTTTCATGTGAATTACAGGGAAGTGGCTCATAAAAAAATAAATACATAAAATAGAGAAAATGATGGTTCTGATTACTTCCGACTTGCTTATGTATTTTTCGTGGGCAAGAAATAATGAGCAATACTAGACCCACGTTTGCCAATAGTAGCTACCCGCTTTTGAGGTCGGAGCCACACTTGCAACTCTTCCTAGATTTCAGGTGGTAACTCATTAACCACAGTAGGGTCAATCTCATCAATCTTGTAATCCCACACATCCCTTCTCATATCATCTCGATCTAAAATTGACATGCCACTATGTGTTCCCGTCTGTGTAAGCAGGTTCTCTTTGCGTAGCTCAGCTTCAATTAGTTCAGAACTGCCAATTGTTGGAACAATCTTCTGTGTAAATAAAATAATTAAAATAATTCAAACAAAATAAAATAAAACTTACAGTATTTATTTTGTAGAACTGAATAAATAATTCAAAGACCAAGTCGAGTGTGTGACACTCTATCCTTAAGACATATTCGCCCCGCTACGGTGCTTACGGTTGAGTGGCATTTATCTCCCAGGATACAATGATCTTCACAAAATTGTTGTAGCACACCAAACAAATTTGTACGGTGAACCAAACCTTGTGTTCTATACTCTCTTTGATTTTTCCTAAAACTATAATGAAGATTAAAATGCAAAATAAAATCTGGACAGCAAAGATGGGTTTTGCAGACTGATTTTCGGATCCCAAGACTGCTGGAACAGTAGGTATTTATAGGCAAGATATTCCTGTCCAAACAGGTGTGAGTCTGTCCAACAGATTCATATTTGAATTTGAACAGATATCCAAACTGTAACAGTTATCTAACTGCCCAGAATTGCTGTATGACACTGTTTGAATCTCCTTGGGCAGATTTAAATCTGTCCTGTTATGAACAGATTGGAAAAACAGTTTGGGCTCAAAAATCTATTATGGAATAAAAGGAAGAGACAAAATTGTTGGACAACAATTTGAATTTCAATTTAAATTTCAAAACTTAAATTAATTTTTCCTGCAAGAATTTATTAAAAAAATTCAAATAAATTTTGTCCAAAAAATTAATGTTAGACCCGACCCAACCCACCACCCACACCTGCACCCACGCCCGGCGCGGTTCGGCTCGGCTCGGCCATACGGACGGCGGCGGCAGTGCGCGCGCATGTGGTGGTTTGAGCTATGGTTTACTTTGTCCATAACTCCTCCCTTCTACAAACTTGGGATGCCCCTTGGGGCCCAAGCCAAGTGTTGTAAGCTAGAGATTATATACACAAATAAACTCTTTTAAAGTTTCAATGTGGGATAACCCTTTCCAAAGAAACCCACATTTACTTCCTTAAATTTCCTATTCCACGAACCTGAAAATGACGTCATGTTCCCATTCACTCATAAATGGTTTTGAAAAACCGTCTTCATCGTGTAACTTACCATGCGGCGAGGAATACTTCACCTCTTCGGACCCACCCCAAAATACGTTTGGGGCCCACTCAATTTTGGGCTCAAAGCCGGCCCAAAATAAGCCTATGTACACCAATTTTCCAACAATCCCCCACATGAATGGAATTTGACGGAGAGAAAATGCAACATGATCTAAAACAGAGAGTACAGAAATTGAAAATATTTTGCAAATGATAGGTAGCTTTTGGCTTTGAACCTTCCCTTGTGAGACACTGTCGGATTTACTAGCTAATCAGTGAACATGATGTCTTGAACTGTTCAGCCGTTTGTGTAAACCAAGACAATAGAACTCACACAGTATATCCCCAGACACAGTTTAGTTCTCACTATTGTGTTCATTTTGGCCCTGAACAACCTGGTCTTTCATGAGTGCTCTAGAGAATTGTAGCCCTTACAAATCTCATAGAACCGGCCCAGTTCACACTCATATAGGTGATTCTTATGAAGAGTATCCTGCCATACTCCACTAGGTATACCTAAATATAAGAATCATTAACAGTATTTCTTAACCTAAAACTCTGCAGTCATCACTATTTCAACATAGAAATGGGTAGGAGTTGAACTCCCCAGTGATTCTTCTGAGTCATACACAACTCGGTTGTCTCTTTGAACCTAGATCTTGGGATCTCCAGTCAACTAGGTTGGGCTGCCGTTATGGTAACTCTTATTTTATAGGCTTAAGTCCCATTCTCCTCGATGAATTCTCAACTAACTCTCTTGCTAACCCTTTGGTTAGTGTAACGCCCTCAAAATAATAACATTAAACCCATCAATAGAGACATGCATGGATGTATAAAAGTTCCACATTCTTCCATTCATCAGAGTTCCATTACCAAAAGTATTACATGTTAACGACAAAAGCAAATGCCCTAAAGGCTTACAGCTTTCCAAGTTAACACTTGGTTACAACAAAAGAGTACTAACTCATTTACACATTAAGCCCTTGGATTAAATATACATGTAATACATCAAGAAACTAACAACAAAAGTCTGCCCGCCTCTAGCCTCCCAAGCTACGTCCTTGGAGGTGGCATGCTACCTGTACCTGAAAATGATATTCCCATATAGGGTGAGCCACAGCCCAGTAGAGATATGCTAAACACAGTATGAGCAATGACTAAGACATTAGCAATTGATAAATGTTCAATTTTCATAAACCAATTCATAATCCATTTCCATTTCTTATCAATTTCACAATTTCCATCAATGGCTCAGAACCTGGCCAAAAAATTATATGAGACAACGACTCAAATTAAACATTTCCCCTCATACATAGAGTTAAACACATTGGTTAATATCAGCATCTTCAACAGATACGCATACAAGCTATATCCACATTCAACAGATATGCATATTAGCTATATCAACACTTCACAATGACAAGCTATAGCTATGTCAACACTTCCAAAGAATAAGCATATGAGCTATATCAACCAATTATCTGACAAGCATATGAGATGTATTAGTGGGGAGTCCATCCCCTATCTCCCCCACACAACATCCGGTTTAGAGGTCCATCCCCTATCTTCCCCTAAACTGTGGAGTACATCCCCTTCTCCTCGCACACACACAATGCATATATACACAAAGGTCATATACACAATCAATCAATACATAACGTTAATGTATTCTATCAACTGTCATACTCTATGACATATCCAATTGATTAGTTTTAGTGTTGCCTAATCATCATGCATTGTCTTACAACAATCAAAACTACCCTCCACCGGTAGTCCAAGCAATTATTTCTAAAACAGGTAATAAAAGCTCCAACAGAATAAAATATCATGTTTTCAAAAAGCGAGCGATTTATAAATCCAAACTCCAATCATTTCAACAGCTAACATAATGAGCCAATTTCATTATTTTCAACTCAATTCCATAAGTTCACAATTTTCCCAAATTAATTATACCAATTAATTTTAAACAACAAATTAGGGCTTTTACCCCCAACTCTCGATATTAACCCAAAGGTTC